AAAAAAATAGATCATAACTAAATTTATGCTATTTTTAAGCTAAAATTGTTACACAAACTCTACAACTTAAGGGATAGGACTCGATTTTGGATGAATAAGTAGAAAAAAGAAGTTTGCAAATAGATATTTGTTTAAAAAGTTTTGATAATTCTAAAGAAGATATGAAATGAAAATTTTTAGATGAAGTATTATAATTTAATATTTATTAAAGTATAGTAATCTTATCCTAATTAATATTTTATTATATAGGTTAAAAATTAATATATACATGGAGGCTATTCAGCAATTGTGATTTATAAAATAACTAAAAACCTAAAAAATGGTAATTATGGAGTATACAAAGCAAGGAAGTTTCCGAAAACTGTTAGATAGTAAACATGATGAATTAGACTAGGCTTCTAAAATAGCTAACCTATATTATATAGCTTGATACAATTTATAATGTCAAATTAGTGTATAAAGATTTTTATTTCGAAAATATAATCTTTAGAACCCCTAAACTGGAGGTTATTTAAACCCCAGCTTAACCCAGCTCACTAATTACATCTACTCTTGACATTGTCTTCTAGTCAAATACCTATATGTGATACCTTAGCTATAGCCTTTCCTTCTTTAATTATCTCTTCTAGAGTATATAATAAGTAAGTAACTTTCACTTTTTATAAGGTATCAAGATTAAGAGTAATTTCAGAGAGTTATTAAGAATAAGGGAGTTAATAGCAAAAAGAATCAATGATAGGAGATGGAATTAAAGGGTGGCTTAACTCGACCCCAAAACCCCACCTTCTGTACTTCCAACACTACTACCACTTTTCGAACCTCAAACATTACTACCTTCTGCACCTTCAAAACCTTCAAGTAAAGCAAAAAGAGTATCTCTTTATGGTATATGAGAAAAGCGTGAGGTATTACTATTTAGAATCTTCATGTATTTGATAGATCAAGTGAAAAAGATTAGCATGTTATTAATAGTGAGTTTTTGTTGCTTAGGTTAAGATAAACAGAATATGCTTAAGAATTGCTAAATATTTGAAAGAATTACAAAATACTGCTGCCTCATTGACAACTTTTAATAAAATTGATATGACATATGCACTTACAACAAAACTATTATGACAAATTACTTTCATATAATAAATAAAAAATTTAAATTATAATACTTACAAGGATGCAGTTTTTAAGAAACATGGTATCAAACTTAGATTTATATCATATTTGTAAAGGCTTCCACTATTGCACTCCAGGAAGTTAGCTATTAATATACCTATAGCAAAATCCAATAATACCATCATATACAGGGACTATGTTGATCAAAAGGTCTTGTGACTCATGTGTTTCGCAATGCCCCAAAAGATACATGTCACTTATTTCTAACTTTGATATCAAAGAACCTACAATTCCCTTAATTTGATTCTTCTTAGATATCACGTGTGGGATCTTTTGGATCTTGCCATAGGCCCGGTGGCTAGAGCACTCAATACTACTTTGAGGAGAAAGGCTAAAAGCCCTGGGAAGGAGTAGGAATTCACTCAATGATGAAACCTAAGTTATTCTCTAATCAAAATATGTATAGCTTTTACATTACTGATTTTGGCTTTGTAAGCCAGTATTACAAGACTCAAATTCTAAAATACTTTTTTGTGTGCTTCCCTATATTGCACCAGAAGTATTATATATGAATGGAAAGAAATACACTCAAAAATCTGATATTTATTCTTTCAGAATAATTATGTTAGAAGTTTTTACTAAATATCCTCTATATTATAATATTCCACATAATGAAAGTTTAGCAATTCAAGTTTGTCTAGATTGTAGACTAGACACCAGATGTAAAGCTCTACAATTACTTTTTGGATTTGATAAATAAATGCTTAGATACAGAAAAACCTACCAATTACTAAAGAATTAGCTAATTCACTTAATCATTTTTTTGAAGATTTGAAAAATGAAGAAACTGAATTATGTAAATAAATTAAAGACTAAGGTAAAAATATTTCAATTTATGATAATTCACTGCTATAATCTAATAATTCATATAATTCAATACAAACTAATTCAATCTTAACTACACATACTCTTTATTAAAGTAACAGGTTTTGTGACAAAATTTTATTACAAACTAACCTAACTACACATTATGTATCACTGCAGTAAAGTGTAAGTTTTGTAAAAAATTTTTAGTAATTCACAATAGAATTTATGACTGTAATTCTAATACAAACTTATATAGGTCAAATGAAGGCAAATTGGGTACTAGTTGGCATTATGTAATCCAGATATGAACCTGATATGAAACAGATATTTGGAGATCTTTAAGATACAAAATCAGGTTCATATAAGTGTTCAATACATCAGAATACCAATGGCTTTATAGGTAAATTAATAAAGCTTTATCGATTTACCTATAAAGCTATTGGTATTCTGATGTATTAGATGCCTATATGAATCTGATTTTGTATCTTAAAGGTCTTCAAATATCCATTTCACATTGGGTTTAATATAATGCTAACTAGTACTCGATTTGCCTTCATTTAGTAATAGTAAAGAATTGGGGCATTTAAAATTATTCCTTAAATTGTAATACAGGCAAATTTGCCTGCGAAGATTTTTACTAATTTTTTTAGTATTTAAATTTTTTAATAAAATTTTGAATATTAAT